AGGGCGCGCGTGGAAGTGATTGTGTAGTAGCGGGATGTTCATCACCTATGGGACGAATTAAAGGCGCTTCTTGAATTGAGTCCTCCATCTGAAATTGAGGTTCAGCTTTTACTGAACCGAACGAAGCATTCCGAAAAAATTCCTTTATGGCAAAATTGAAAACAAATGAAGATATTAGGCAGTCTACACTGGAGACTTCAGGGGTGGTAAAAGCTAGTCACAATAGATCGTAACCCGAACTGAGATGTAATGACACAACTCTTCGGGGATCGATACGTGCTTTTCGGGTACTTCAATTCTCAACAAACAATCCAACTGAAACAATCGAAGATCGCCCGTCTATAAAAGAACACAATGAAACCATCACGGTGCACTAGCAACTGTTGGAGAATGAAGACTTAATTGACGCATCCATCCTACTCGACGGAGGTCTGTTCGTCATGCATGCTGTACAACATGAGGAGAACAACGGAAGTTTTGAGACCAATGGGATCAAAATTATGACCTTCTGGATGGCGCAGTCACTGCGTGAATCTTTTTAAACATGGGTACAGCAATAAAATCTCCACTAGAAGGTAACTTGCTTAGTATTCTAAACCCCAGAGAACAGAGGCTCTATNATGATTCTATGTTTGGATACGGATGGGGATGAAATAAGAGACCTACGCTTTGTTACGCTCCAGCGTTTTCGGATCTCTTCACGGATATACCGTCTCAGAAGGTGAGTTTGTCCTGAGAGAAGTCATGGAACGTGTGAGAATCCCTATGAGAAGCTGATGTCCAGCGGAACTGTGCCTCAAAGTGCTCCACCTAGCGTGCAAGACGCCATTTTTGATAGTGAATAAGCGAACCTGTCAGTTTTATTAATCGTTTCACTCAGACAAAGTTTTCCTACCCGGTTTTCCTGACCCGGATGTCGGTATCACGGTTCGTCTCTGAAGCACGTTGAGGTCAACAGATTTCGCGATCTTCGACTGGGCTCAAGTCAGGTTTAAACCTCGTTATGAGTCGTGTTTATTGCTCGATGACGGTCGGCACTAATCAGGGCGCGTCGAGAAGAAACAGCAACTAAGAGGAAATCCAAGCTGCCGCAACATGATGCGTACGGCCATAACTCACTAGGCAAGCGGAATATAGATCATTCATGATGAGCGGTCACCGCCAATTGATGGCATTAGGTGGAGTCAGCTCTAGTTATTCAGATAGCGCGTTTTTAAAGACACTTAGGCATGCTAGTTGGGACAACGCATCGCATTCTCGTGAGTTTTGAACGCCCAACGAAATACCTCGACAGTGTACTGTGAATTACCAGTAAAAATGGAGTCAGCAAATATCATCTCGAGGCTACTTGTTGTAGTGTGTATCCAAAGTAGATTGGGAGAGGAATAAAGATTTAACTTAATCACCTTCGAGTTCTGTCAATGGGTCTGGGTGTTCAGTGAGACGTTGATCGACCACCATTGTGACACTGCCAATGGTTGGCTCATCTGAATCTAATGGATGAGTGGATTGTGCTTGACGCTGCCTCAGGCGCATTGTGCATTCTTCCAGAACCTAGTAGGGGAAGATACGACAAAAATTTAAAAATGAGTTCGGTGAGTAAATATCAATGAAAGAAAGGACACTAGTGTATACATATGTCTGAAAAACGTCGCACCCCTTGAGCAAAAGAAAGTGCTAGTATATAAAAAAATCGGTTGACAACAGTGCATAAAGAGTCAGTCAAGTGAGGGCCTCCAACCGAATGAAAACATCCATAAAAATTTCATATTACGAAGAAAGCTGCACTGATGCACAGGGATTTGATGAAGAAATTATCAGCAGGAATGAACCTACCGTATTTTATTTCTAAACCGATCCAGATAATAGGGTATAATTGACTAGTAGATATATGCCGCAATACGTCTAGCTTCTGAAACAGGCGCTAGGCTCAAAGACAAACCTACGAACAAAGTAAAATAGACCACGGGATTTTACAAACGCGGCAAGACGTACAAGGACAATAACAGTAAAATGCACCATTAATGTAAATTACGTGATACTATTTTATTGAAGCACTACAAACATCGGCGATTGAAATGCAGAAATTGACAAATGCAGCACTCCATAAAATACACATCCCCGAAATTCCATCATAAATCAGCAAACAAGTCCACGATGCTGTGGCCCGACATCTTGAAAAGAGTGCGTCGTTGGTCGACGGTGTGTATGGCTTCGATTGATGACTTGACACAGAGTGGAGATTCGATCGATACAACCGCGACCTCGTTGAGATCCTGCTCCTAGTTCGCGGATGTTTGTCGTCCTAAACGGTGTCAGACGTCGTAGTATGATGAAGGCTGGTAAATTGGGGAAGATTGGGATCAAACTTATTCTATGGTGGTTTGCGCAGTCGTTGCGAGATCTCTTCTTAGAAATTGGAGTAATCAGGGATCCGCTTCAGCATGACCAGAGACTGTGCCCTCCATCGTGCAAAGACTAGCGGGGAGCCCGTCAGGTCTCGCACGGTTTCCTTTCTTCAGGACTTGGATGCAAGATAGTACTTCTGCTTCAGGAGGTGGTTCACATGACACTGCCCACAGAGATTCAGCTACAACAGACGAGATACTCTGGTTAGTGCTTGGCCAGCTGAACTGCTCGCTGAAGTACTTCGCCCACCGGTCAAGCCATTGCTCCCCACTGAATAGCTTGTCCACCTTTGTCGCAAATTGTTTCACTAACCGTGTTCCGCCGACTTCCCGTGTTGCGTATC